ATTTGATTCTCCATTACCCCAATATGAACAATAGGTTCCACGGCTCCAAGGATTTGTAAAGAAGTATCCTTACGAAGTCTGATGAGCTCCCCAGGTAGAATCTAAAACCCTCACCCCAAACCCCGAAACCCTAAACCCTAAAAAGTGCCATCCCAAAACTCTCAATTTTGTGGGGATCTAGGGTGCGAATCCAAAGCTGAGTCTTCGCACGTTGCCTTCTTTCGCGGCCTCCCAGAAAAATGTTCAGGACTGTGGAGTTCTTTGGGGGCTTCAGGGTTTAGAGCTTGGGGTTTAGGTTCAAACCCTAAACCCTCAGCCCTAAACTCTAAACCCTAGACCTCAAACCCTCAACCCTGAAGGCTCTAAACACAGGTTTAGAGTTAGGGGCCTAGGCGTCGGGTGTTGAGGACTGGGTTTGAGAGTTTAGGCTTGGTCTTTGAAGCCTACGATTTAGGGCTCGGGGTTTGGGTTTCTGGCATTTTGAACTTGAGTTTAGGGTTTAAGGTTCGTGGAATTTGGGCTTGGGGTGTTGGGGGGTTTGGGCTTTGGGTTTAAGTGTTGAGGCTTGGGGTTTGCAGTGTTTGTCGACAGTCCAGAAACCTTTGTTCATCAAAGAGTTGCTGTTGGCCGTAGGTGTCGCTTGGAACTTGGCCCTGGTCCATGCTATCTCAGCCCTAAACCCTAAACCCTAAACGGGTGGAATCCGGACCTTGACTTGACTTTGCTTTCTTTGAGGCTCCCTTCGGGTAGCTCAAACCGCGCCACTCAGAAGAAAGCACAATAATTAATGTAGACCCATGATTAATAGGGGAAATATAAAAATATGGGGGGAATATAGGGATCATATAGGGATAATGGAAAAGAAAATGGAAGCTACTATTTAGGGTTTAGGGTTGTAGACCCATGGTTAATAAACCCCTCCTTTTAAGGGCCTTAATATTAGGATCCCCTATTGTAATCCCTATCAAGGGGAGGGGGGTTTATTAATAAGGGGTCTGGGCTAGCAAAAGCATTCCAAGCGTCACTCCCCAGCTTGCTCCCTCCTACAGCTTTCCTTCCGTAGTCGGTGAACAGACATCACTAAATCCAGTGGCTGGTTGACCACCCAACGCCTCCCCTCTTCGAAGCTATTGAAGAGCTCAAGCTTTCTGGACTCCACCACATTCTTAGGAGGTTCAAGGAAACTATATCCCAAATTGACACTGCGCTCTTAACCCAATTATGAACCTACAAAAATCCCCAATATGGTTTTCCTTGAGGTATAAGTGGCAGTTATACGTGGGCTAGAGTTAAACCCGAACCTTATTTTTTAGACCTTAAAACCATAAAACCCTATAACCTAAACCCTAAAACCCGAAACCCTCAATTAGGGTTTAGTGGTAAATGTCTTAAGGCTTCAGACCAGGGTTGGGGCTTAAGCTTTGCGATTTGTGGCTTTTGGGTTTAGGGTTTAGGGTTTGGCGTTCAGGGCTTGGAGGTTTGCGGGTTAAGGCTTGGGGTTGGGAGCTTTGGGTTTAAGGGCTTGGAGGTTAATTACGTTTAGGGCTTTCAGGGTGTCAAGGGTCTAGGGCTTGAATTCGGGATTCACGGCTTTCATGATGGCCATGCGCAGATTTACGGACGTAGCGTCGAACAAAGAGCCCAGGGTCCCCATCGATTCAAGGCTCCGCATTGCTTGGCTTGGCTTAAGTTTGGGGTTCAGGGTTTGGGGTTTAGGGTTTAGGGCGGGCTTAGGGTTAAGGGTTTGAAGTAGTCACACCTGTGTTGCAAAGGGCAATTTACTTCTCGCGCTGCCTCATACCACAGATAATTTCTTGATTCTCTCTATGCGGACTGGCAAATAAAACTTCTCCAGGCATAACTCTGCCAGAGTTCTCCAGACCGAACTGCGGTGTTAGGTGCTATATGGTGCAGGGCCTCCAAGAAAGGGCATCCCAGGTGTCCACAAAAGGCTCCACCAAAGGGAAACGGTATGGATTCACTCCTGCCAAACACCACAACCCTCCCCACAAGCATTGGCTGAGGCAGTGGAGGTAGAGGAATTCCACACTGACAATTAATGAGCCCGTAGCCAAGCAAATCTCCGAAGCCCAGCGCCTGGAGGAAAGCCGAAACCCTGTCCTCCCGAGCTTCATGGGGCTTAGGGATAAGGGTCTGGGCTCAGGTTTTGGGATTCGCAGCTCAGGACGTCCAGTTCCAAGTTCGGGAGTGCTGGCTTTGGCTACGCCTACGTCGCAACCGTCTCCGTACGTCCAGGACAGCAGCGCCGCCACCGCAACCGCCGCAACCGCCGTCCACGCTGAACGAACGAAAAAAGGAACAAACAAAGAGACATCCGCCACAAGAGCTGCGAAGACGAGGACAGTAGCGGCGGCTTTGGCGGCGGTGGGGCGGCGACTACAACCACAACGACGAGCTCTAGTTTTAGTTGATGGCTTTATTTTAGCAAGTCGAACCTTGCGAGCCCACTCCAGCTCTGGCGAGGAGCGCAGTTCATGGTTCAGAGCTCTAGGATTTAGGGGGACACGGTGGGGTTTATACCAAGTCAAATACGAAAGCATTTTTCAAATGCTGAAGGTTTCTCGAAATCGTCAAACACATTAAGTCCATAAGACACACATGAGACGGTTGCTGCAAGTGCTCCTTGCAAATCAATCATGCATTAGAAGCTGACCAAGAATAGTTTCAAGCTGTCACATGTCGTTGCCCTAACGGCAATAACTGGATCTCTATGATCAATCATGCATTTGAAGTTAGCTAAGGGGAGCAGTTTCAAACTGTCACATGTCGTTGCCCTAACGGACATAAATGGATCTCTATGCTGTCGCTCTAGGGCCCCTAGCGGCGAGGGATATTGGGTTTTATTGGGCTGGGTTGGCCCCTAAGACCCTTTGAAAAATATTAGTATACAGGGCCCCTTATTAAAGCCATTACGGAAAATGTGAAATAACCCAAGGGCCTACCCGGTGGGGGGTTGTCGGCTTAAGGGCTTGGGGTTTCTGAGCAGTCGAAACGGCCGATAATAGCCTAACACCCCCCCCCAGCCCCGAATAAATTCCAAAACCTAAACTCTAAACCCCTAAACCGTAAACCCTAAACCCCTAAACCCTAAACCCCTACACCCCTAAACCCCTAAACCCATAAAACCCGGCGGAGGTGTTTCTTTTTTTCCTAACGTTGCCTCCGGCTGTCTTTTTTTCCTAATGTTGGCTCCGCTCGGGGGGTTCCTCTAGTAAACAT